CTCGTTCTCAAAGCGAAATGTCGCAGAGTTGATACCGAAAGGAGATCTTGAGATTTCCAGATGCATGTCCCCTAAACCCTAAACCCTAAACCCCTAAACCCTAAACCCTAAACAGACTTGAGCTCAGGTTTCCCTTCCATCAGAGGATCTTTTGCAGGATGTCACGTCTCAGCTTCTCATCTCCTCCACGCAAGATGCAACGGACGTGCAAGTCCAGGAGGTTGGGTTTAGGGTTTAGGGTTTGGGGTGGGCTTGGGCTCTCTTGCGGCCCAGAATCTCGTCATTCGCTGATTCGTAGATCGTAGATGTCTGCAGTAAGCTTTGGATATCCCAGAACAACAACAAGAAACTCAGAATAGAAGAATCATAGCAGCAATAGCAATAATCATAACAACTAATAGCAACAGTAAGTATTATTGTGACAAAAAATTCTAATCAAAGTGCTGGTCATAATGATTTTGGAGTGATGGGGCCAGGCCCAGGCTTCACCCTTCCAGGTGCCGCTGTCGCTGAGGGCCCACGCACCGCCCATCCTCCTGAACGACTCCCTCAGGCTGGGTTTAGGGTTTAGGGTTTAGGGTTTAGGGTTTAGGGTTCAGGATCATCTTCATCCCCAAGTTCGACAACCAGATGGAGCGTGAGAAGCACTATGCTGTTTGTGGGTCTTACGTGGGGATGGACTTCAGTTCGCTGAACTGGCAGATCGTGGATGGCCGCTTTGAGGTTCAGAAGACATACAGTGACGAGGCGGAGATGGAGTGCTCCAACACCAAGCCCAGTGTTACGTACCTGACTGCGGTGCGGCGCAATGACACAGGCTGTGGCACTTGGTGCTCCCGGTATCTTCCCTGGGAGGAAGGGGAATCCTATGATCTAGAGCTGACACGCTCCATCGAGCGGTGCCTCAGCAGTGCTGCCAGACTAAACACCTCTGCTCTGTTCCAGTTGGTAAGCTCTGTTCTTCTTGATGGATTCTTGGAAGCACTTTGCCTACTTCAAGGGTGGATGTCGTTCAATTAGACGTTTTTTGTAGGGTGAACCTAGCAGCGACCATCCAAGACGACTGCCTGAACAAATTGGACATTCTCGGCGAGCTTTTGTCGCGAAACCTGACGGAGGAGGCACGTAAGCTCTTCGAGGTGTCCGAAGATGATCTTGATGATGATCTCGATGCAAATCGTCTCCACAAGGGAAAGACATATCTGCAGGTTGCCATCGAGAGAGGCAACCAGCAAAACATGGAGCTGCTGCTGAAACATTTTGCAAACGTGGAGCTCCAGAACGAAGACGGGAACACAGCCCTAGTCACTGCGGGACGGCTGTGCCAGGTGCACACTCTGAGAGAGCTGCTGGACAACGGAGCCAATGCCTCCAGGGAGAACAAGAACGAATATGTCTCTCCAGGCAGAGCTCGACTGGTATTTTTGTTTAGTGCCATGCGTGAGGAAGTTTCCATCTTGTAGGGCCGTGAGTTGATGGCAGGCTGTGCAATTACTGTCTTGTCCTCCGTCCTCACCGACTACGACGAGAGCGTTTGCAAGGGGCAGGTGCCGGAGGTTGTGAAGATGCTGACCGACATCGGCGGAGCGGTCTTCAACACCAGCAGTTGCGACTACAGAGGCTGGCGGAGAGACAGAGAAGCTGGAGAGCCCCATCTAAGGCTTGCAAATAGGAAAAAGGGACGTTTCAGTTGGCCTGAGTTTGGGAATGGGTTTTGTTCATCGCGGCTTTTCGGTACTGGTGTGGGCATTTGGATGATCTTCGCACTGCGTCGCCAGGGTATATCATGCACAAGGCAATCGAGCAGATGCGGCTGCCGGCCATGGAAGCCGTGTTGCAAGCGGGGTATTCTCCAGATGAGAAACTCAGGAGCAGCCTCCCTAACCCAGAGACTCCAATATCCCTTAATTAAGGAATATACCTTAAATTATAGTAGGATCCCTAATATGATTTAAGGTATATTCCGTGATTAAGGGATGTTGGAGTCTCTGGGAAGGTAGAGCCACTCAAGAGCCCTCCAAATAGATACCTGCTTACAATCTGGAGCGTCGTCTTGAGAGTCCCGTGCTACTTTAAGCAGAACCCGTCTTCAGGACGAAGTCCACGCCGATGAAGCAATTGTTCCTGTACCGCAACGGCGAGGATAATAAAGTGAGGTTCCTCCGGGCTGTGCAACTCTTGGCAAAGTACGGCGCCGATGTCAACACCGACGTTTTTCATGGCAAGACACCCGCGGCTCTTTCTGCCGAGTGGTGCGATGGGCCGCTTCTGCAGGAGCTGCTGGAGGCCAAAGCAAATCCTCACACAGCAGATAATGATGGGAAGGATGCGCTGGACCTCGCTAAGGAGAAGAACTGCTCCGCAGTGATCCATTTGCTCTCAAAGCAGTAAACCTGACAAAAGCGGGCACCGTGATCCTTTGCATTGATTGGAGGGTTCCGAAGAGACTTGTCTGAGGCTCGAGGTCCTGCGCAGTGTCTTCTTGCATCAAGTTCTGCCACTCACGAGTCTTCTGCTTGTCCCTTGCGAGTGATGTCGGGCTGGGTGCAGGGCGGTTCCTGTCTTTTGGGTTTGTTTAAGATCTTAGAACAGCAAGGCTCTCAGGCCAAGGCTAGTGCAAGCTGCATGCATAGTGTGTACTTGCTTAGGCATGGCATGGGCTCCATGAGATGGCTGCTGTGAGCTCAGCCGGTGTGTGCTTTGGCAGTCTCTTCGGGAGGTTCTGGAAGCCATCAAGTAGGTCCTAGCTGTCCTAGCTCTTCTTCAAGTCTGTTGGGGGTTTCCGAAAATAGGGGACCCTAATTTTGTACCCTTCATAGTAGGATCCTAATTATAAGGACCTCAAAACACGGTACCCCTAATTTTCGGCAAGTCCCTTTTGTGCTTTCATTGCCAACTGTGACTTGCTTTTGGGGAATCTTGATTCTGGGGCCACCGTCTGTCCTCTCTGGCGGCTCCTGGCTAGCCAAACTTCTGATTTGTTTTGGGGTCCTGCTTCCTGGAGTTCAGGGTTTCGGGTTCGTTCAGGGTTTGGGGCTTAAGTTAAGGTCTAGGGAGCCATGCCAAGCCCTATTCCCTAAAGACATCTGGGTCAAGAAGCTGGCGCCGAATTCAGGGAAGCTTCGTGAGAACGACAGAAGTGGTCTCCTGCGGCTAGAAGCAGCCATGAGTGCCTGGTATCCAATGTTTTTCAGAATTTTTCAGGGTTCATTGTTGGGATTGACGGTTCTGTGTACATGATGACCTTTAGAGCACAATTTTGGGAGTGTTTAGGCATCCTTCTGAACAGGTTTGGGGGTTTGGAGCGCAGAGTTTACGGCTTGGAGTTTTAGAGTGTGGGGTTTAGGGGTTTCTGGAGGTTCAGTGCTGTGGGGGACCCTCAGTGCTGCGCTTCACGAGGCCCTAAACCCTAAACCCGCAAGTCTCTGGATCCTGGGGCCTCTGATACTCGAGGTAGCGGAGGTGACGTGGGGCGTTGTCGTTCGAGACCAGGGCTTCTCAGTAGTGCTCACGACGGAAGGTCGAGGGTCCAGGCTTAAAGAGATTCTGCCGTTTTTTTTATCGTTTTCATAGAATCTTCCAATCTTCTCTTTCTTGTTATCAACAAATCAATGTCATGACTGTTTTCTGAACAAGCAATGTTGTAGGGCGCTGCATTGCAAGGTCATGGGAATGCGGCAGGACGAATACCAGCGACAAGCACTGGACAAGCCACTCATCTGTCCGTTTTGTGCTGGCTTGATGGCCAAGGCTCGGGCTTGATTTGAGGTTTGCGGCCCCAAGAACTGTAGCTACAGTACTGGTTAGTAAGCGTACCAGTTTTGTAGTTTATGTAGCAACACATGCAAGGCTGATCACTAGCGCCCCTATGTTCCCTCAACCCTAAACCCCAAAGCCTAAGCCTGGGCCCTAAGACTCTGAGCCCTGAGCCCTAAACTCTAAGGGGCGTGGAGTTGCGGATTTCAGGCCTCAGAGCTGAGGTCCAGCTGATCCCAAGCCAAGACGCGCTGCGCGATCAAAGATTCTGGAGTGAACTTCGATTCGTGAAGCGGCTTTTCGGGTTTAGGGTTTGAGGGTATGATCTCATGTTTAAAGATTCACAGCTAGGTTCAAGGAGGGTAATAAGCACTTGCCCTGGTTGACATCACAAGTATGGCTGTGTTGATGTTCGCCTTACACTAGCTATGCATGAACCTTCAATGTCTACGGACCCTCAGTGGGATCATACTCTCGAGCAGCCCCTGCAACCTGCATCCCGCACAGTCACAGGCCCTTGTAAACACGAGGTGTCGCAGCTCTAAGCCCCATTATGCGGGCTTAGCTGTCCAAATCTTAGGTGGCGTCCATGCGCACTGGAGTTGAAGGAGCCCAAGGTGGTAAAGCACGACAGGTGCGGAGTTGCCTTCTTGGCTGTAACCGTGTGCTTACTTGTGTGTGTGTGTGTGGTTTTTTTCTGACTCGTGCGTCTTGCAGACTCTATCTCCATTGGCGCAGTGCTGCAACTCTGCATGTTGCATTGCCGAACATCTTCGTGTTGTTTCCTTGCTGTGGGTGGTTTGGTCTTGCTTTGATTCTGAGGTCTGGGATCCAGGTTTGCGGTTCAGGGTTTCGGTCCGGATTTCAGGTTTAGGTTATAGAAAATTCGAAACCAAACTCCTTTCTAAGAATACGGAATGGGGGGTCCCATATACCTCTTCGCAAATAGCGTTTGCGTTTGAGGTTTCAGGTTTAGCGTTTGAAGTTTTGCTCGTTGATACAGAGGCGAGCCTCAAAACTTGACGTCAAGCTTGCCCGAGAGGCCAAGCTACTCAAGCACCCTCAGCATTGAGTCATCAAAGCTTGCAGCAATGTGTTACACATAAGCATTAGCTATGCGGATATTACCTCCCAGTTATGAATGATCTTACCAAGTAATAACGGTCATACTGCTGATCAACTATACTCTATATACATATATGTTTGTGTGTGTATGCATATATGTATATGTATATGTA